TAAATAGAAAAAATTAATTATAACTTATTTATGCGTAAAATAATTTTTTTTAATTTTGCTAATATAGTTACATAGAGGTATTTTTATTATAAAATCTTTGTATAAAATATTTTTTAATATCTATTTATTTAACCTACTTTATTACAGATCTCTATATGAAAGCAAGAATTGCTGTTAAAGGTTTTGTGGCAGAAGGTTCAGCGTATGAGACTGAAAAAGAAACTGGGAGGGGAAAACGAAAAAAAGTACAAAAAAAGCTTTTTTCAGACTCTGATTCTGATGAAGACATTACGAAGCATAACAAGAAGTCAATTCCATTACCGCCAAGTGTTCCTTTTAAATGCAAACAAGTCAAAGAAAATAAATTGAAAAAAGCAGAACGCGAACTTAGTTCGATGGTTTCCTCTTCTCCTTTGAAAGTGAGTTAAAAGCTCATAATGAATATTAAACTTTATATTAAGAAATCACAAGTTAAAAAATTTTAACATTTTTTAAAACACTTCTCTGTTTAGGTTTTAAAAAATAATGTTAAGAAGCTGAAAACACAAAAGATAAACAATGATAAGACTGATAGTTATACTATGTCAATTGCACAAAAATCTGATTTTAGCGAAAATAGCAGACCGTCTTGTTCAAATAAATTACAATCACCTAAAAAAACAACTATAGAAAGTATCTTTACTTCTCCAAACAAAAGATTTAATAATTTTGATTCTGGTAAATTTTCTCATAAAATTTAATAATATTGCTCATTTACTGGAACAATGACATAACTAAAAAATTGTCATCTTAATTGTCATTGAGCAGTTTTAGTACAAAGACTTATTTTGTTTATAAGCAGAACGTTATATCTTCTATTAATACGATATTGCTACAAAGATAAGAATAAGAATATTCTATACTTGTATCATTTTGAATGTATTATTTCAACTTTTAACTTTTAAATAATTCAACAAAATAATCGGTAACTAAACTTTTTTCTAACAACATTATATTACTAAATAATTTTGAATTGAAAACTATTTTGTAACAAGAATGTCAAAAATAAAAAAGGGTTTTTTATAAGGATTTACTTTATATTAGATGGAAATTTAATACACTGAATAAAGAGCTAATGGTTATTTTTTATTCTTGTAGAATTACTTGTTCTGAATAAATTCCTAATTAAAAATGATATTAAAAAACTGTAATAGTTGAAAACATTTAAATTAATTTTTTGGAAAACTTGATTTTTTGAGTTGTTATTTTTTCAGCAAATGAGCGACATGATTTCAAGAAAAACATATCTAATAGTCTCTGTATCTTTTCACTAAACTGTTCTCTTTGACAACAGATGTAGAGAACTGTAGTAAAATTGTGCGGGCATGTGCCTCTATGCGCTATGTGTAGCGCTATTTTCTCTTATGAAAGCCTTGTGGCTCAAGTATTAATTGGCTATGCTTGATGCAGCGTGTGATAATGCTCGAAGGACCAGTGTTGGCAAGAAGCAACACGAAAACATAGTTGATAATGATACTTATTTATTCTTATTAAACTCATGCATGTGCATGCTTGACAAGCGTAGAACACAGAAGGTGAACTAGTGCAAACTTAAACGACTATATAATAAGCGTAAAGAAAAATCATGCTGCTGCATGCTTGGACGAAAACGAACTAGGAAGAAGAAGACGGAAGTGGCGAACGAACAGATACGGAAGCGAACGAACGCAAACGAACGCAGAAACGAACGCTGATAAGCGAACGCTGAGGAGAAGGGGAACGCAGGTAGCGCTCCTTTCAGAAGGAGGGAGCGTAGCAAAGCGAGCGAAAATACAAAAGTGAAAACGTGCATAGCGCGTACAAAAATATTAAATAAACATCAGACTGATGACGATGTCCAGTCTACTTCGAATTCTTCTGTGTTGTCTTATAACTCTTATCTGCAAACAACACGTTTTAATCCCATTAATTCTGCATCTTTTCAACGTAATTCCTTTTCATCTATAGGCAAAAGATCTCTAAATTCTGATGGTAAGTTCTCTTATAAAGTTTATAATGCAATTCCAAAATGTATATTTCTTTTTTAATGTAGATAAAGAGAATAAGACACTCGCAGAAAAGCTAAATGAGAGAGTGTATGTTCGATTAGAAGAAATTAATAAGGAGCTAGATA